GCAACCTCTGCTATCATTGTGTAAACAGGTAGGCGTGACATGCGAGTAAAAGCGCTTTAAATAGTCAGGAGACTAGAAAAATGCTACACAGACTGAAGTGCATTTTTACCATATATAGTCAATTGTGCATTGGAAGCAGTATAGCAGGTCAACTCAGATGATAATGTCTGAGTTGAAAGAAAATGCAGAACGTTTTGTACATTGAAAGCATTATCAATCAGTAAAAAAGTGTAAGAAAAACCATGTCAAACTAACAAAACAAACATCTCACCTATTTGTTCATATGCCTTCAACTTCACTAAAATGTGTTCTGATAAAAAGGTTCAAACATTGTGTTTACTAAACCATGTTGCCCTGCAGATAGCATTGCATGATACAGGAAATGCCTGTATGACTCATTGATGTATTTTGCTGTTTGATTTGGAGGACTTGTTGCATAAGAAAGGCAATAAATCAGAGTATATCAATGTAGCCCACACTGAAAAAGGAAAAGTGTTGACCCATGAGCTACAACAATCACAAGAATAATACTTCAGTTAGATAAGAACACAGACATTTCAAATGCTTTTACTTTTAATTTCAAAACCTCTTGTACATAACATCGTAATACAACACATGCATTGCTTTATGTGATCATGAAGGGGCTTAGTTTACAAGACAGGGGGATTCGAAAAAATACAAAAATAAAATAAAAGGTACGAGCGGTCGAGTCATTTTAGTCAGATACAGCCATAACACTCGATAATGAAGGCTGTCCACGTTGTGTGTCAGTGCTTGCGCTTGTGCATGAACTGTACCCTGCTGAAGCAAACCTCTTCCAAGATCATCAGGCACCGTGCGGATCGACGCACTCACACTAGTCAAAGTAACTGGACTTTAGGGGTGAAGTGTTTTGCACCTTATGGATTGCCTAGTGATGTCAGTGCACCCTAAATAGAGCCCTCAGTTATCAGTCCCCTCTCTTTTAGAATCATCTACCAGTCAGGGTCCAGGAGACAGACACCCTTTAAGAGTAGACTTACAAGTTTTTGACAGACCTCATAGATGAAGCCGACTCAGGCTTGGACCAGTACCTAGTTTACACAAAAATACAAAAAACTATTCAATCATATTTTTTGTTATTTATGAATTAATTCAAAAATGTATGTTGGAGAGAAATAGAACTGAAAAACTTAGATCCATTCAGCTCTCGTTGGAATCTAAGAAGAGACTGGTTGCTGCCACTTTTATGTCTGTGCTGGACTATGCTAATGTTTTATAGATACATGCCTCTTCCCACAGCTCACATTCTCTGTACACTGCACAGCTCTGAGGTTCATCACTGATTTCAAGCCCTCACTCATCACTGTTTATTGTATACTTGGTTGGATGGTCTACTTTGTCCAATCACAGACTCAAACGCTGCTTATACTTATCTACAAGGCTATTTTAGGTCTGCTTCCTTTATTCCTTTACTTACTAAAAGTCAGAACTGAACTGGGGGAAAAAAGCGCTTAAATTTGCAGCTCACTGATTACTTCTGTTATTTTGTGTGTCGTATGTATGTATGTTTATGTATGTGTCTTGTATTATGTTGGTATATGTATGGATGCTTGTTTGTCAAAAACTTTGTTATTTATGCTGTTGCCTGTCTTGGCCAGGACACTCTCAAAAATAGATTTTTAATTTTTTTTTCCCCTGATTAAAGAAAGGTTAAAGAAAAAAAAATCAAAGGTGTAATAGTAGGCTAAAGTAAGCAAAACCAAGCATTTTAAGGCCCTGACACGCCAAAGAGACCGTCAATCTGTCTGTGAGCTGTCGGTGAGCCGTCGTCGAGCCGTCGTCGAGCCGTCATTGAGCCGTCTTTGCCCTAGTTTTTGCAGGGTGTCCAGCTCCGTCGCTACCCGTCGGCCCCAGTTGGCCTATTTTTGGGCGATTCCACATGTTGAATCGCCGTGAGCGGTTGGGGGTAGGAATCTCTCTGATTGGCTGTCCAGCTAAGCGAAACATGAGAGCCAGTGCACAAGAAGAAGCGCCTCTTCTATTCTTGTTCCACAAATAAAAGACCAAGGGCTGACAACGGCAGTGCCTTTTTCAACATTTTATCAGACATTATTCTTGATTAGAAGTAAAGAGAAAATTGGCTTCTAGTATCACAACAAAGGTTAATTTATCCGCATTCTTCCTCGACCTCTCCCGGTTTCCCCTTTTTGGAATGACGATTACAGACTATACCGCCACCTGCTGGCATGGAGAGTTATTGCCTCTCACGGCTGTTGGCTGTAGTCTTTGCGGTGTGTTCTAGTGAAACTTTTTGGCCAAGACAAAAGGTGCTGTGTAGTTCTTTGCTGTCTGCTTGGTGTGTCAGGGCCTTTTTACGTTACCTGTGTAATCAGCAGTTATGGGGGTATAAGGCGGTATTTATGCAGTTATTTTTTCATTGTGAGTCAAATGGCTTCAGAGGTGACAGAAATGTATTTCCCTTCTTTTCATGTGCAGATTGCCATGTTGCAGTAGGGAGAGATGTTTATCAATGCTATTATAATTTCTCTGTTTCAGCAGTGCTTATTAATCAAGCAGCATGTGTTTCAGTGAGCTGAAGTTAAAAGCCACAAATGATCATCAGTGTGTTTATGTGCCATTTATCTGAGTCATTTCCTCCCAACATCAGCAGGATATCCGTTAGCGTTTCCCATCACACTTGAACAAACACAATGACGCTCACCCTAGCGAAGTCAGCCGCACAAGGCTGCACATTTCTTCCCACATCGATCTTCACTGGCACGCCCACACACGCATGGAAACCTGCACGCAATGTTTTGTGCTTTCTCACTTTGAGACTTGCTTGCTTACTCAGGAAACACAGAAAGAGAGGACTAATTAGGCTGCTGTCCCCAGTCTATTGGGACAATAAATGGGATCTGTTGGCACTGCGGTGTTCCTTTGATCAAGGCATGTCAAACACGCACTGTGCTGCCATGTTGCAGAGAGCCTCCGGGGAACACACCCACACACAAACATACACAAAGAGAGTGAACTTAAAAAATAAGGTTTTTTTGTCTTCCTATTGACACATCTTGTTCTGAGATGCTGTAAGCAGAACAAATGTAGCCTAACTGCACTTCATAGTCGTATTTATGAGAGAACAGAATGGCTTCTACGTTCTCCTTTATAGGAAGTAATCATTCATTTGTAATGCTTAAACTTTCCCTGTGGCTGCATATTTAAGAGCTGTGTTATGATGTGGGTGTTGGGTGAGAATCCCTGCGAGAGGACAATTCTTGATGCTAATTTGGTGGAAAACATATGGGAGCAACTAGCTGTACCCACAGTTAACAATTCAACTACTTCAGTTCGACTGAGGAAAATACTTGAGGCGTGGAGTGATGGCTAAAACCCAAAATGATTTCCAACTGTGAGCTGCTAAGAGTCTTTTAAGATGTCTATTAAAGACATGAGAGATGCCTCATGTTTTGAATACAATAGGAGGAACTTTTTAAATATCATTTTTTATTTAGTCCATTCATATTTATCAAGTGTTATAGTTGTAGTGTTGAATAGGCGTTCTCTTTTTAAATGTTGTTGTCATGGAAATGATACATCGACTTGTAAAGTTGTCATGCTAACATGCTAGCAAAGTTTCTTGCAGTTTCTTGTTAACAATCCGGCACACAGAGAACATTAGCCCTCATATGAGCCCCATTTCCTCCAAGAGGTCTGGTTTGGGTTAGTACAGTTTGGTACGGTATACCCTGACCATAGAGGACGTGAAGAAGAGGTCTGAGGTCGTCCATGGGGCAGTGCTAAGCGCTGACTTATTCACAAAAACAGGCTTGAAATAACTCTTGAAATCAATGGGATATTTTAACATGGAAGGTTTTGTGCTTCTCTTTCATTACCGCTATCGCATAGGAAGTGTCAATTCTTTCAACCAATCAACAGACAGCAGTGTGTCTAGCTCCACTCTCTAGATTTGATTGGTACATTTGGCATCCTTATGGACGGGTAGCAAAAAAGTTGGATGGAATGGATTCGGGCGTCTTTGGTTCAGTTTGTATAGCCGAGTCGAGGGTTCGATCCCCAGGTCCTGCAGCAATATGTCCGCTGTGTTCTTGGGCAAGACACTTAACCCTGAATTGCTCCCGCTGCTTCTGATACTTCTGATGGTCAAAGCAAGCACTGCCATCCGTGTGTGAATGGTCTTTGAGTAGTCAGAAGACTAGAAGAGCGCTATATAAGCTCAAGTCCATTTACCATTCGTCTTTTTGGTACCATTTCAAACTTTTGACAGTGGAAATGCCTGGGCTTTTAAGTCATGCATACAACCAGCTGACAAACAAGTAGTCCCATTCTTTCCTCAGTCAAACCCCTGGTGGAAATACCTGCTCGTTTAGCTGCTCCACACTGCTGAGAAGTTAGATAACATTTTTAAAAGCTTTTTTTTTTTTGCTGGAAACAATTGCATTCTGATGTTAGTGCTGAAATTGGTGGTAAACAATATAGTTGAACGCTCTGCAACCAAAACAATGAGCCATAAGACAATAAAACTGCTTTTTAAACTGAGGGGATCTACAGAGGTAGATGTTAACTCTCTGTTGGTTTGTCAAAGTGATTGACCATTTTTTTTACATTACAAAGTAAATTAATTCATAATATATACAAATCATTTGATTAGTGTTGCTTTAATGGCATACATCATTTACATGTCATTAAGCTTTAAGTTTAGCAATAAAGAATATATAAAAAATAATATATAAGGAGTGGAACCAAACTGAATGCACTGCCACTTACTCTTTATATGATTATCACACAAATGTAACTAATGAAATGAGATTAGAGTTCAACGATCCCTGCATGTGAAAAAAAATTTTAGTTAATGCATTATATCACACGGTTAAATGGACATGGTGTTATGTGCAAAGAAATGTTAGTGAGTAAGTGATAATGTTGAAAAGTAATGGTGGACAGATGCTTTAGCAGGCTAAATGTTAGATAATCAACAACGGCTGGAGCGCATGAGATGTTTTTCCATAGAATTTTATTTCCAAAAAGCAGTCAGAGAAAAGTAAAACAAGCCAGTCAAGTACAACAAAACAAATCCCCCAAAGGGAAGAGAAAAAAAAAAACAGCTGATACAGACAGAAGGCCTGATGATATATACAACAGCAGACATCTTTTTTGGTGTTGCAGTACCAGTGAATCACTCAACAAACTCATGGTATTCTTCAAGATCAAAACAAATAACAAAATACGTTTTTTGTTTTCCTTTAATGGAAAGAGAAGGTTCTAAAAGTCAGCTAAGGCACACAGAGCCTCCCCTGAAACAAATAAAAATAAAAGAAATAACGGGGGAAACGTCAGTTCAGTTCAGAGAAATTTTTGTGCAACAGTTGCTCAACAATACATTCCAGCAAGAACAACAACAATCTGGCATGTGATTTTTTCTCTGAGAGGCAAATGGGACAAAGGTGTTGTCAAAGCTGTCCAGAAACACTGAAACAGGTTATTTACTTTAATCAAATAACACCACCAATCCACTCTGTGTCCACTTACTGAGACTTCAAAAACTCTTATAATTCAATGTCATTTTACCACATCTGTATTTACATGTACAATACCTTTTAAACAACATTTCAATATAAAATACCTATGTACATCTTCTTCACTTGTTCATTATTTTGTTACAAAATAGGACTTTCACAATGACTTATATTTATTGTATTCACCTTTTTTCCAAAACTGTCATTGAGCTTACATAATAATAATATGTATTATGAGCAGTAATTGTTCTGAGCAATGGTGGCACTCGAAGTTAAAAGGTGGCAACAGAAGCTGGCCAGTGAAAAACAAAGTAGTCCTTTTCAACCAAACCTTGGAAACAGTTAGGGCTTGAGAGGGAAGGCGTGATTATAATGGACACATCCGACAGAGAGGCAAGGTGAACTTGACATTAATGAACAGTAATGTCTCTTAATTAGCCAGTGCGAAAACACTCACTTAGCCCGTGTGGTGGCTAAACAATGTTGACAATCGCAGATTGAAGTCCTAATTGGCTTGAGATGAAACTTATTTCAAAGTAAACAAATATGCCACCACTCTCCTTGTTCAGGATGTGCTGCGGTTCAGTGCTGCTCTCGGTGTAATTAACTCATCTCAAATGTCCAGAGATTGTCTCGATGGCTCGATGTCTTCAGATGTAGCGTTGAAAAGGTGTCATACACGCAAACTAAAAAAAAGATGCATTTTGCAATAAAGGCGCCGTATAGTATTCACTTGGAATTGTTCATTATTGTCACAGCATTGGAGATCACCACCACTCACTATCTTTCTGAAACACTTACGAACTGTTAAAACACCTAACAGCACAGTTCCTCCTTCCATGGTCAGACATTGTCCAGGGTGTTTGGTTGTGAGGAGTGTTTTTTGTGCACCTTCTCTGTTTGGTGAGGTTGTCAGGTAGCTGGCCTCTGACCTGACCTGACAGGTCGAGGTGACTTTCTCTTGCGATGCACTTGGCAAACAGCCGTGTCAGTAACCATGACAAGAGGATCTTTTCAGACAGGACAACACTGACGTTAACACACGGATGTGGGCCTTGAAGGTACAGTCTAAGTTTGGGGTGTTGGCCTTTGTAAATAAAGGCGGCTTTCTTTACAAAAAAATATGTATCATGCTGCCAAGGCAGCGTCGCAATTATTTAGTCACTGACTAAAAATATCAGCATTTATATAAACTTATAAATAAATAGCGACTCATGGACTCCCCCATACCCCCCTCCCCACTCACACAGACTTCATGTATAATCATGTACACAAAGTGGCATTAAAACCACTGGAATAAAGTTTAAAAAAAAGAAGAATGAGAGTTTTTAAGGTCAACTTGAGATAATTGTGTTTTCAAGTTGGAGGCAGGTGAACAAAGCAATTGTCTCTGTGTCCTCTGCCTGTCACTACATCTTGATTCCATGACAAATGAAAAAAAAAAAAAAAACTATACTATGTGAATGTTAAATCTTCAAATACTATAGTACCACAACCACAAATGAGGCATTTGTGGATTCAGAACACTACAATGGCTATATTAAGTTTCTATTATAATCCAAATATGTTTAATTGTTCTGAGAAGGCCTCTGGATTTGCATTTGTCTTTTTCCTTTATTTCAACAATGTGACTGCAGCAGATGGTTCGCCCGGCCACAGCAGTTCCACATCCTGATCAGGCACTCAACTGAATGAAGTTGTGCTGCTGTTTCTGATTAATTCTACTGATTTACACGCTGAATCACTGGACTATCAGAAACTCATTTCAATAAATTGTTTTTTAACAATCACAAGTATTTGTCCTTCAAAGTTGCTTCAAATGGTGCTGCAAGTGTTACAAAATAATTATTTTTCAAATGTTTTGGCGTATCTGAACACTCAGATATAGTCTTCTTCTTTTTGTATATGTTGACATACCCTAAATGAGGCACATTAAATTCAGTAGCAGGCTTCCTTTTTAAATATGTTTGACAGCTAAGGCCTTTTTGCAGCAGAACTTTGCCTCCTGCCAGTGTCGACAATCCTCGCTCACATGACCGCTGTGCCCCGTGCACAGCTTTAAAAGCTGACTTCATAATTCATTCAACAGCAAAATAAATGCTGAAAAATTGCAACGTTTGATCACAGTAGAACTCAGCCATGAGAAGAAAAATAAATACACTGAGAAACAGAAAATAGCAAAGCCAGCATAATCCCCTAAAAGGAGGAACCTCGTGGGAGGATCTGAAAATCATTCTGCTTGCGTTCTGTCCAGACACCCTCACCAACCTCACACAAAAAAAACTTTTTCTTTTGTTTCCTTCTCATTCCAAGACAGAGGAAGAAGACTGTTCCTTACCCCCGTCTGCATCAAGCATCGTAAATAAATAGAAAATCAACAGTATCGTGGCCTCCTGTCCAGCTGGAGGCCTCGTTGCTACCTGACGCGCCCATTTGCGCGGGGCGCTCCTAGATGGGATTTGGGGTCTGGGCTCAGGGAGCTCCAAGGGTTCTTGGGGCAGGCCTGCATGACAGGACAGGCGGTCGGGCCTACGGCGCAGACGTCAGCCGCCTCCCACAACTCGCCCACCAGGCTATCTAACCAACGCTCCAGCTCCGGGCCGGTCAGGGCTGCGTTCCTCTTGGCCTGCTCCACGAAGCCCAGGCTGACGGGGATGTTGAGCACTGGGTTGAGGCCGTGGAAGCTCTGCTCCATGTAGCTGTTCTTTGCTGGCCCGTTGTGGAGCTTCAGAGTATCATCTGGACAGACGTGGGAAGGGAGGAAGAGAAAAGAGAGAGAGAGAGACAGATGATGTGTGAGGAGTGGATAATCAGCGGTCAGCCAGAGAGAGGGGATGGTAGAAGGGGAATAGGAGAAAAGAAAAGGGGGGACATGAATGGTAAAATATCAAAGCAGAGGACGTGATTTGCTTCATTATTATCTCAGATACTTTAACTGGTTGCTAATTGGCTTGGATTGATTTTTACGACTGAACTTTTTCTTTGATGTGGTTTGTCAAGCCACTGCAATGCTGACTTTTTGGAAACAGTCAGACATACTCAGACACACCCTCATCCTCTCTTCCCATGACGGTCAAGCTCGGCAGGAAGACAGCAAACGCAGACACAAACTTTAAACACTTTCTCCACCCTGAGTTCCAGTGAAGCTCTAAATTCCTCACTGGCCCTCTAACTGTGGCGCTAGCATGGCTGAGCTGACATCAGCACTTTTTCATGCCCTGGTGACAGAAAGACACAGTCAGACTTGGGCTGCTCCACCAGGACGTCTGACCCAAGCCATGCGAGCTCAGTGGGAGCAGAGTGTGATATGAAGTCATGCATCTGTGTAGTTTCTGTTGTGTTTTAAAGTTTGTACTGTGTGCATATGTGTGTGTGTGTGTGTGTGTGTGTGTGTGTGTGTGTGTATGCATGTGTCTGCTACTGCCAGGCCACGTCATAAAGTTTTACTGGCACTGCATGTAGGAGGGAGACCTGGTGCCAGACGTGGCAGTAAATTAGAGGCGGGTGGATGAAACAGCTAAGAAGAAAGCACACATTCACACACGCCTGCACGCTCACACACACACAGCATTAATAATTTGTGATGATAAACTACATTTAAATGCAGATAAATTGATAACTCATTAGACCCAAGAATTTTGTATCCTAGAATTTAATGGTTGATTTGTTTATGACTCAGGCAGATATTTATTATATTATGTAAATTAAAGGCACAGTGTTTAATCCAAATCGACTCTGACTCACCTGATGTAGATGGTGCGTGTCAGCCTGCAATAGGCTGAGTATTTTAGATGTTTTTTTCCCCCTACGCTTACACGATCTGTTTCTATGTTTTCAAAATCCCCTTTTCTATGTGAAACAAAAGGCTTGAAGCTCGAAAACCTACACGCTGAAAATGGCAAGTTACAATGACGATTTGGATCGAGCAATAACGCTGGCTTTTTATCTTTTATCGTTAAATTTGGACTTGGAATGCCAGGGCTCGCCTCCACACGTGCAAATGTTCTGCCAATCAAGTTCCCACTGGACAACATTTTTCAGCATCCTTGGCTTTGCACCACCAAAGACGATAGAGATATGGTTAAAGAAATATAAGGAACCCAGATTTTAGGGGGTGATCCCCTAATTTCCTGTATGTGTATTACCAATTTCTCATTAAATTGTCCTTAAAAAAAAAAAAAAAAAGAAGGAAAACACAAAATCAATAATTCATTTCTTTTAAATAATACATGCCTGGTCTGCATGAATTAAACATTTTAGCAAGATTCAAAGTGTCATCATTATCATGGTAGTGTAATGATGCCCATGCAAAAATTAAAGATTTATGTTTCATTCTTGCCTCCTTACAGAATTACAAACTATCAGGACTATAACTTAATAGAGGAATCGCTTAAAATCTTTATTAAAGCTGCGTAAAAAACAAGTCTTTACCGGTTTTTATCTGTTAATAATCGTAATGAGTTCTCCTCTGGTACTCTAATATTGTCTATAATGACACATTAATATGCTGTACCCAAAATGCGAGGGCACTGAATTTTAAATAAATAATATTAAACGTGTTACAAGCTGTCGGTGCTACAGAGAGAGAGAGAGAGAGAGAGAGAGAGAGAGGGAGAGAGAGAGAGCATTTGCAGATACTGTAGAAATACAGACGTGCTCTGTATAACCCTCAGATAAGTCTGTGAAGTCTGTGAAGTCTATGAAATCCCCTGCAACCCAAAGTTGTTAACAGAGACCAATGAAGACATCAAGTCTTTGCCAGGTTGAAATTATGCAGATATGTTTGTTATATTTGACATTTCGGTCGAGATTATTGGAGGTGATAATTCAGAGATAGCCTGACTTGTAAGGGTCCCTACCGCATCTACCCAATTCTACACCCCTGTCCTCCTCAATGATTTGAAATACCTTTGGATTGCCCCCTGGGGACAAATAAAGTTTTTTGAATTGAACTGAATTTTGACATGTAAACTAACCCAGGACAATATTCTTAAATTACTCATGATTTCAGACGTTCATAAAATTTGATTAATTTATGTTTTCCTAATAGCAGGCCTAGGCAACACAAGCCAACAGTAATGACCAGAGTGTTACATTCACCATTTTTTTTTGTGAGATCTGCAATATTTGAATTTTGTGATAAAACTGTTTTTAAAGAAACACATGACGATAAAGAAAAGTCCAAACGTCAGTGAATCAACATCATAATGTCAGTCATACAGAAATCTGTCAGAAGTTTAGATAATTAAGCCCGTAAGCTGTTGGTCATATGAGACAAAGTGCGGCAGAGTGGTCGTATTTCTGAGTGTTTTATTACTTCTGAATGAAGCTTTTCATTCAGAAGACAAAGACTGTGTTATTCCCAATTTCAATCGCACGGATTAATGGACCAGACTTTATTTTCCACCACTGTCTCTGTCAGCTCTTTTTAATTGTACCTCTTATTGATGTTGCAAAAAGGTCAGACTGTTATGTTAATACTCAGGGGCCTTTATTTCTATTTTATGACTCACATCTTGCTAAAATCCAAAGGAGTCTAACATAACAGCCAATGTTTGAAAGTAAAAAAAAAGCTGTAATACTATAACAAAAAAAAGACCAATATTTAAGTGTAATTAAGTATACTATTGTGTATTATTAAATATGATGCATTGGCCAACAGAGACGAGGTTACACTGTTCAGTACAGTAAAATGTAACTAACTGTATTTTGCTGTCATAATTATTGTACTCTTATTGCTACACTACAAACCCTCCCCCCCACACACACTGCCCCATAGAGACTCAGGTCAAAGAAAAAAGCTGTGTGTTTTTCTCACCGTTTAAACGCTAAGCGAGGTAATTAAACAGTGCATATATGCAAAAACTAGGTTCTTAACTTTCATGAGACTTTTGGAGCAAATGATCTGCTTACGATCTCGAACAATGCAGTCTTGCCCATTTTCCAAGCAGGCTGATTGATTTAATTGTGTCATTGTTTTTGGAGGGCTAAGTGCGCTGTTGTTGAACACTGTGTAGTGTGTAGTGTGTAGCTCACAAAGGTTATTAAGGGTGACTTGATGACAAACAACCAAGGTCTGCAGAGGGCCGTAGGCTTGATTAGAGAGGACAGCAATGCAAATACAATGCGTGTGCGTGTGCGTGTGTGTGTGTGGGTGTGGGTGTGGGTGTGTGTGTGTGTGTGTGTGTGTGTGTGTGTGTGTGTGTGTGTGTGTGTGTGTGTGTGTGTGTGTGTGTGTGTGTGTGTGTGTGTGTGTGAGTGTGTCTTCAGACATTTTAAAGCACCTTTTTTTGCCATCATTACTGCATCAGTAATGCTCTGTTATTCTGCAACACTGTATTTGCGTCAACTGAAAATACATTTCTTAAAAATGGCAGTCTCTGTCATAGCACAAGGGGTATGTATGAATCCTTTGCCTTATTGTTTTCAACAAGCTGTTCATGAACTATTGATCCTTCGCAAACAAAGGGGGGCAGTTGGTGTGATTGAAAACTAAAATTAAGCCTGTCCATCTTGGATTTATTGCAAGCAACCATGAAGGCGCATTAACTCTGCAGCTAAGGCACGGCCTAATGTGGGAAGCCAATATTTGCTTTAAGTGGTAGAGGAGGAGCTATGAAATTAAAACACAAAATACAACGAACTCCATCGTGAACAACACAGAGAGCCTCACAAATACAGGTTTTTATTGCTGAGCGTTTGTCTTGGATTGCACTGTGTAGATCTTACTGTACCTGGCAGTGCACTATTTCAATATGAATTTCAATATGATGATTAAGTGTCTGGCTTGAAGGGTAACTTCTTAAGTACTTTTTGATAAATCATTATTGGTGTTGAAGAAACGCACAGCAGTGCACTAAGTACTGCTTGCCAATTACACAAATAAGAAAATCAATGTTTATTTTATGTTACAATGAAGTGGAAACAAATGGCTTCTGCGTATTTAAAAAAAAAAAAAAGCCTCATGAGATCACAGAGAAATGGCTCTCTCACCTTGTCTTATCGGCTGGTGCTTGTTATAGGCCAACGGGGCGATGAGGAAGTGCATCTCAGCTACAGGGCTCCAGTGATGCAGGATGCGGACGCTCCACACACCAGGCCGCAGAGGCTGGTTGAGCGGTGGGCGGTAGTGTGTGAACTCAGCGCTGGCGTCGATCAAAATGTCGTAGGTGGCTGCGATGACATTGGTGGGGTCGATCCACACTACTGTGACGGTGACGTTGGGGCCCTTGTTCCACTTCTGCATGCCCACAGTCTCGTCCATGGGGCCCATCAGGCCGCCATAGTTTCGGAAGATTCGTTCCTTGGCGTCCCACTCTGTGCCGATCTGACAACGGAAAAAGAAGAATAGAGAAATGTTGGGAGAGAAAGAAAAAGGGAAAGAAGAGTGAGTGACGGAATGGGGTAAGAAGCGAGACAAGCACAGAAGCAACAGCAAAACACAGAGGAGATGCTGCTATAGGAGTTCCCTCTTGCAACGGCACATATAGCACAAAGATCATAAATAAGTAACGTGCATGCACCACTATTTGACCGTACTATTACAATAACCAATATCTGCACTGAATTATCATGGGAAATAATCTTCAGCATGCATTTTTCATCAAACAGCACCACACTCCAACACAACCCCTCCACACAGATATTATATAATGTTATAATATGCAGACGCTCACAGGCCTGATTGTTCCTTCCTACATGTTTGAGTCTATCCGTCCACAGTTTCTGGTGCAGTTTGCCTGAGTGTTTCTCTGACAAGAAATGTAAGAGGCAGTCTGAGGAAAAGCGTATGACTAGAACCTGACTATATTCCCCTGAGGCCAAGATCAAATGCATCCCTGTATGGTCTCTGAGCACATTTCAGAGGAATAAAAAGAGACAAGGAAGGCAACGAGAACAAGTATCTAATCTTACTTAGTTTTTAACCTGAAGAGAAAACATCAGTGAACAAACCCAAGCAGAAGAAGTCACTTTACATACGTACTCACATACGCTGGCAGAGAAAGCACAGCCATTTGACATGTTAAAGGAAGTTAGCTTGGGTTTGAGACCTTCAAAAAAAGACAGAAAAAGCTGCATTCTTTGCAGCAATTTTGAGAAAAGTGTTGGTAAAAAAAGGACCAGATTCAACCAAAGCCAAATATATCTGTGGTGAGTTATGTGCCGCACGGTGCCTGTGGCTGCATAACAATAAAGGAGCTGCCAAACAACCGCACACTGGATCACTGCCAGCAGGACAATAATTCAATTTAAGAACACCGGATCTGTTTGTTTGATTAAACTAGGATATATAGGTTACGTCTTTTGAACTTGGGATTTCATGATAAAATACTGATTCTGTCTTGCTGCGCAGATGTTTGAGCTGAAAAGAAAAGCACAGAACAAGGAAAGAATAAACTATGATAACAGAAAGAAAACATGAACACAGCTAATTGGCTTCTTCACTGCGGTAAAGATTGGAACTGAAGAGGTGTGATCGGTGTGTGTTGGATTGCAGAGATTTCAAAATAGTGTGGTATGCAAAATGAGAGACATGGAGCGATCGAGATTGATGGAGGAGATTGTGGTGATAGAATAGGAGGTAACACACACACGCACACACACACGCACACACACACACACACACACACACACACACACACACACACACACACTTGCACTGACAGTGAAAGATGTCTGGGGTGTTGGCAGAAATGTGAGAGGGATGGCGGCTTTAGGAAGCGCTCATCCTTACAAAGCTAGCTGATTAACACAGCCTCACCCTGCTGCAAGATCAATGGCTGCCTGGAACTGACTCTGCATTACATCCTCTGAGAGTTGAGATTGTGATGTACAATATAAATAGACATTACTTGCATAAATGGGACAGTGTGAGTGTATGTGTTTCTTGGCCATCTGTAAAAGACACCTCACTCTCATCTCAATTATTAGTCTGACCTCGACCATTTTAGCCCCTTGGACCGGAACTAATCAACTCTCTTGTCCTGCACCATTGTGGCTCATTTCTTCGTTGAAGGCTGACTTCCTGGCACACACTACATCCCTGATAGATTGGCAGCACTGCTTTTCAAAACCCCCCGAAATAAATGAAGGGAGTATTGATGGAGGAGACTCGCTGTAATCCAGTGGCAGAGAGCACTCTGGAAGATAGACTTGTGAGGGGGGGGGGGATTCTGACCATGTTCACACGTGCTTCTGGTTCTTACACATGGTTTATTCTGCAATAAAAAAAACTAAGGGCAACATAAAAAATGCAAAACTAATGCAGCAGTCAAAGTTCCACTTTTTTTAAACAGTTTCAGGCCAGACGAGTGGGCAGCTTTACTCTCTCTCCAAACACACACAAACATGCACCATAGTGCACACTGTGGTTTATAAGGTGCACATGTAACTTGTACCTGGTCTGTGTACCTCATGACTGAAGCTCAATTCAAACCCTGGTAACCACAGCAGAATTCCAAAAGACAAACATTAAAATCCATAGGAGTATAACCTGACCTGACCTTACATATTCTTATGCAGGAAGCTTGAGGGCCTTTGACCCACACAAACACACACACACGCACACACAGCTCCCATTTCAGCTAAAAGTTTGCCTTAAATAAATTCTCAAAGTTTTATAGCTTGAAACTCTTATACTGCTTTGTGACTTAGACACCCCTCTATTATGATTCAATTCAAGGTATATCTGCAGCTAACAGACAGAGTCACCAGTGGGAGGAAACTTCTTCCAGTATGAAAGTGGGTCAAACAGGGATTAGCTTCTGGCCCATTTCAGCCTCAGCCTATAGCTTACCCTGACCTCCATACTCATCCTGTCCCTTGCTCCTTCTACCCAGTAAGCTTTGGCTTAGACCAACACCCAATCAAGCCTTTTGACCGCTCACCAAGTCGCAGGCTTATGACCTTTCACTTACAGCTGTACTTAGAAGTATATAGTTTAGTGGAACTAATGCTGATCCAGCAGCCTTATGCCCTTTCCCCTCCTTTTTCAATTACTCCCAGTAGAGACTTATGTTTACTCACACTTTCCACTCACTTGAACTAATTACTCACATTCCAAACTGATAACCAGCAATAATATAAAACCATTGTTAAATCAGCAGATTTAACCCTTATCTTTATTCAGATGTTGAAGGCTTATACTATACACGTGTTACCCTCCCCCATTAGTCGATAACCCATATTACTCCGCTCACCTTCTGCTCAATACTCTGCTTGACTTCATAGGAAACATAAAACACTCCCCGTCCCATAATCCACCTCTATTCCATCGCTTCCTTCTGACCTGGCGACCCTGCAGACCTGTCCTCCATGTCATCAGTTTGCTGACGCCCACACTCTTAACACCTCCATTAAATATGGCAGGCAAATTTGATCAGGCAGAATTATGGACAGTCCCGGTCTACATCTGGTCCTGATTAAGACCATAGGGCATGAATGCCCCTGAGGCTCTATTCAGAGGCTTATTAGTGGCACTTCGTGTGGGGGTAATCAAACACAGGTGCTCACTAGCAGCACCAGAGGACTCCCCTGGGACTCCATTTACGCTACTGAAGGACTCTGGGTAAGATGGCTGGATGATCGCTAAGAAAGATACACTGTAAAGCACTGAGGAAGGAAGGGTAAAGAACAGAGAGTCTGGACAGAGAGTGTTGCAAAGGTACAAGCTGAGAGTTGTGTCATGAGAAAACCGCACACTATTCATACTACGCATGACGACACACTGAGTACATATTGTGTTTGGAATTCATAGGATGCAATTTTGTGCATGCTAGCAATCCCTGATGTATAAAACAGGAGATATTTTTTTTAAAAATATGATGCAAGAGCTCACTTGTCATACTCAACTGCCTCACAATGCATTACTGCTCTATCCAAATATCCAATGGCACCTAAAAAAAGCACAACAGGTTTTTTTTTCCCCTCACAAACTCTGTTTAAGCTCTTGATATGTACCACAGTACATGTAGGCTATGTTGAAACTACTTAACATGTTTGTCTTTTTTGTAGTAGCATAGGTGAGGAAAAAATGTATCCATCTTAAAAATAGAACAATAATCTGCAGAGGGGATCGCACAGGAAGCATTAACCCTTAACTTTAAATTCAAGCCAAGAGTAAATGACTTTTCAGAAAAATATAATGAAATCCCCGCTTTCGGGCTCAAATTCTGCAGATTTATTCAAGAATGATATACAAACTTCTTGAAAAAAATGTGAGTAATACATCAGCACAACATCAATGCATCCTGTACTCCAAGAAAGTGTCACTGGGCTCTGGGATGATATAAAGAATGAATGTTTTTGAGTGGATTCACTTTTTAACAGATAGGATAGACTAACATCAAATGTTTTAAATATAAAAAATACAAGTATGACTTCAGTCATTTTGAACCTAAAGTGATTTTCTAACACTTATATCCTCCACCACGTGTATACATGGTAGAAAAAAGTGTCAACCATGAGTTAAGTCTGCCGTTCTACTGTATAACATTTGTATGACAATGGTAATGTACCTCTCAATGTCAAGTCTGACTTGAAGTGAAATGCTAATTTTAACTGTGTGGGCTGTAAGTGGTGGGACTCTAAATCATGCTGTAAAAGGCCTATAAAGGCTGCTTGGAGGCGGCAGTAAAGGAGTGAAAAGAAAGACATATCTGTCTTCCTTTATACCTGAAGGAGGACAAGGAACATATTGTTAAGCCAACCATATGGTTTATCTAGCAAACACCAGCGTATAGCTTTAGTATAATGGGTCATATCTGCTAAGTTGACAAAAAGCAATGAGCTATTGGTTTTACACCAAGCTGTCTTATTTAAGCTCTTTCTGCTCTCCTTCTGAATGACACATGGACAAACTGACTGACTGACAGCCACTGCACAGTGCCAGACACTGAATGCTTTCTTTGGCTGAGCATCCAGATAAAGCCTCAGCTCACATCACCTCTCTGTCACTCACAGCTCCATAGGCTAGACACACAAACACGGCTCAGTGAGAGCAACCAGCATGGAGACTGGTCGCCTGGAACTCTTTGAGTTCACTTTGAGGCTGCACAAAAAGGTCAGAAAGTGCCAAGGCGTGTCCAGGTGTATGACTTTTGTCCAAATGTACACCCATTGCAAACAAATTCCTTCACAAGTTTGTTGGCATTTGTTGTTCCCACAAAGCTGTGCATGATAAACCCGAGAAAAGGTCAATCCACATTCACTCAGTTAATTTTGTCCTTTTTAAAAAGGCACTTTGTGGCTGTCACATTACAGCCAAGCTGCTGTGTCCTAAACAGGCCTTGTTGTAAACAGAAACACAGATTAACATAACAAGACAATCAAGAGAAGCATTCCAGTGTGAAGGTGAGGAGACGTTCTATTAGGAAACAACAAATAAGCACATGAAGCGCTCATCCCTATAAAGTTGGATGAATTCAATCAATTTACATTTTACAAGGCCATTACAGGCACCAGTTTAATTGTGTGGGAATGCGCTGCTATGAGTCTCAGCAAGGTCGCCATAGCAATGAATATGAGGTCACCATAGCAATGAGCTGTATATCTCACCACTAATTATATGCACCACAAAGGAAAAAGTATGTGGTGCTTAGGGTTTTAATGGAACTCATTTCCAGACACTGGCAAAAGCTAACTGATGGTTTGTGGCTCACGCCAAACATGTGAATTAAATGTAAATGAAAAAAAGAAATGCTATGTCATGAAAGCCTTTTCGCTGACTCACCTCTGCCAACTGCAACCGGCTGAATGTGCTGCTGGGAGGCGTTGTTAGCTTGAAGTTCTTCTTGGGTGCCACCCAAGTCTCCATCGTCTCCAGTTTGCTAGTGGCCAGATTGGTGGCATGGTGCTTGACCAGGTAGCCCTGGAACTGGTCTGATTGGAAGTAGAGATGGACAGACACGGGGTGGCCCATGGGGAAGTACCTGGCAGAGCATCAAGAGAGCGAGAATCTATTAGTAAACCTGATACCTGCGATCCATCTGCTTTGCTGCTTTTAGGACCAACGGTGCAAGAGGAGGAGAATATCTAGATTCATCTAGATAACGTCTGCCAGGAGCCAGCCTTGGACATGCTAATGTGTCTGCATACTAATGTCTCCTCGCAGTGAAGATAAGTGGGCAGTCAATGTGCTCTGTGTGACACGGTGGACATTAATTCAATGGCCTTTAACTGAAAACCAATTGGACAGGGACATTTGTCCGCCGTGCTGATAATTCCCATTAAACATGCTTGTTCTTTGCTATGCCATTGCTTGGGGAGCCAGAGTTTCACGCTATTTTTCATAATATTTATGATTGTTAAAGTACATACAAGAAGAGTAATGCATTTTGTGACCGTTTATAAAAGCCATAGCACGATAAAGCACTTCTAAACACTTGAATAACAACCTCCTCCATGCCAATTATTGATTTACAAGGTGCTGGTTGTCGAAGCATGTGCTCTGATTCTGAAGTGGAAGAAATGGTTAAAGAAGTCATGTGACGGCCGAGACCACAGCATCCTGCGGGCTTAAGAAAATGAAAGGATAGTCATGGGCTGTATTGGCAGCAGATCCAGATTAGTCAGAGTTCTGCACACACATACACAATTAAAACACAACCCAAGTTTACTGAACTAAGTTGAACTGGGACATCTAGTCAGCTGCAGCCTAATGAAGGTCTTGCCCCTCCGATGAGTCTGTTGTTTATTTGTGTGTTGACTCATCGGAGGCAGAGGGTGGGCCCTCAGGGCAGCCAGCCCAAGTGACTTCTGGAAAAACATAAAAAGGAGACAGGGTGGGCTCTGCTGGAGAACGCTCCACAGCTGCTCTCTGCACACTGACTCTGACTCCTTCTCACTAAGATTTCTCATCCTTCATCTCTTCTGCCTCCTTGAATTCTTCTTCATTTCTCTCACACACACGCGCACGCACACGCACGCACGCACGCACGCACGCACGCACGCACGCACGCACGCACGCACGCACGCACGCACACACACACACACAAACACACAATGCCTCTCCTTGCTCTCCAGTGCCCAAGGCCTCATCAGTATTCCACTAGAGGACCAGGAGTCAACCCGTCCCGGTAAATGCTACCCTGACAAGCAGAACAGCAAATATTTACACCCACAAGGATAGCACTGCACACTCCCTCCTCTCCGGCTCCCTTTGCCATGCTTTCTCTCTTTATCTTCTCTGTTTTCCCATCTGCCTTTTCCTCTTTGCTCCTTTCTTCTGCTCTTCTCTCCTACTTTATCATCCTGCTTTCTAACCCCATCCCTCTAAACTTATTCTCCCCCCTGCCCAATCTCTACCAAAAGAGAGGCGGCTGCCAGCGTGGGAGGCAGCGAGAAGGGCTCGGGGCGTAGCCTGCACAGAAGCTCCATTCAGGCTTTTACTCCACAGTTGCTCCGAGCGAGTCGCAGCAGACTGCTAAAAGAACCATATCCCTCTCTGTGGCCTTTTCCTCTCTCGCGCTCCAGTTTCACTCTGAGCCTGAGCCATCCATCTGTTGGTTGCACGTCTGAATTCTACATGCATACAAAATATGCAGCCACACACAGCCATATGTGGCTGTACTTTTGACTTCAGACCAGGTCTAAAAAAGACACAGGTTGCTAAAGCCAGGACTCGTCTTTTAAAGGTCCCATATTGGGACATAATTTTCTGGTTTTATATGCTCTTTAGTGTGTTTTCCAAGTGTCCTGTGCATGTTTAGGCACATCTATGTGCAAAAATTCAAAGTCTGCGGAGACGTGGCTTCTCCTACGTCCTCCTGTTAGCTGTAGCATTAGCTGCATGTAACGCTCGGTTCTAGCCCCCCTCGATAAAAATGTGTCAGTCCAACGTCATTGTCAGTGTGAGATAACTGATCTAAGCCCATTGGCTCGTTGTGGTGAGCCCTGCAGCTCAGGTTGAAATTTCCGAGAAGCGTGCTGAGCAACTGACCAATAACGACAGAGCGGATCGGCAGACCAATCAGAGCAGACTTGGCCCACGTGGGGTCTAACAGTGTGGGCTCAACAGAGTGTAGCTGACGGACTCAGAGCGTAGAGGGAGTAAGTACATGAAAACAGACACTTTTTTCAGACTTTAGCTATTGTGAACGTACAAAACTAGGTACATAGATTAAATGTACAAACCCCAAAAAGGGCAGAATATGGGCTCTTTAAGTTACAGTTAAGGCTTTAGAGAAGGACCTTGATTAGTTTTCAAACAATCAAGATCAATAGAACTGAAATAAAAGTTATGAATGCATTTAAACCAGAGTGTGGCTACATTTATAAAATCAAGGCTCATTTGACTTTTTTCCTCTCTTCGTTGAGCCTGATGTTAACATCGCCTCATTGCAGCTGTGACTCATTGTAGCACATTATGTACAAGTTCTTGATTTTGTTTTCTTTTTGCTCATGGTCTTCATTTAACAGAACCACTTACATACTTCTCTATCAACACATTAAGGAGTATTCATAATTCCCCTTTGTCTGACTATTACACCAAGAACGATGAGAAATCGTCTATTATTCATGACTTCCACCCCGTAATACTGCAGTGATTCATTTATAACAGAATGCGTCACAGACCAGAAAGGCCCAGTACAGAAGTCTGACACTCAGATGAATAATGACATTCTATTTCCCCTCTGATGTTGTAGACGACTTTATTATATGGTCGCATATGTAACACAACATAACACTGATATGATGTGCTAGCTCTATGCTCTGACCCTAATGTGTGAACACAAACTCAACACATAAAAGAGATGAATTGTTAAAAATCACTGACTCTGACTCGTACAGTCTCATCTTTAAAGAGGGAGGAATCTAAAAGACACTTCAAACCTTCCAAATCAAAAAATATCCTCCTGTCTGTTAGATGATAGAACCTCTTTTTCATGTTGCGATTGTGTTCCCTTGACATGTTTCTTTGCTCTTTCATAATATCAGTGCTTTGTTTTCAGTATATTCAGGATCACATTGTACCTGCTGAGAGGAGACATAATTCTAACAGACGGTGACAGCGTCTTTTTGTGTATAATAAAGAAGACTGCTTGCTGAAACACAAAATGTCTCTACTGTTGGGCAGGAATTGTACTCTTCCATTGATCCCTGAACAAATATTTTTCAGAAAATCAGACACTATTTTTATGTGACAAAATGTGAAGTAAATACAAGAGATATTTGGTTTTCATAACAGGCTATTTATTTTTCCTGTAATCATAAAAGAGCATTCATACTTTGTGGTTGTATCAAAACTGAGCTTTTAGTCATTTCAGAAAGGTTAGCACATCCCACCTAAATCATTCTCTTGATTACAAACATGCTTTCTCGTCTGTGTTCATTTGACTCCATCACAAACAAAATGCAACTAAAGAATCTTGAATCAGCTTTGTAAAAAAAACAACAACACTTAAAAACGGCTTTGCAGCAGTCTGACACTGCACAGACTATCCTGACTCACAGTTTGCTTTGGACTCGATCAAAAGGGCTCAATGCAACTAGCACTCATAGAATACACCTCAGTCATCAAATTAAATCAAATGTGGACAACCTTCTTTAGATATATACTGGTAAAAGACTTGCAAATTCTGTATTAAAGGAAATGATGGATTACAGCCCTGAAACCAGTCGAAGGGATATTTTTGGATCATAGAGCAGAATACTTTCTAGAATTATTATTATATATTTTTTTGATGTCCTTAATTTAATGCTTTGTTTTCTGAGCTAGCTTAAAACTCATTGCTGTTTTAATTCTTTAATTTAAAAACAAACAAATAAATTGTGCCCCACTGTCACCTGTAGTCATTGTTCCCTATACATACTTAACATTCTCCATGCCATACTGATGTGGTTACAGGCAATAATTCTCTTGACTATATTATATGTGTTATGCCATGTACCTGAGATGTAGGTGAGAAACTGAAGTTGTAGCCAGTGTGTGTTGTCTGTTCTGTTCTACTGTTTGATTTGACTGTTAAAAAGTAAAAAAAAAAGTACAATACAAATATTTGTGGGAAAAAAATAAGTCTCAATCTTTGGGAATTTGCCTAAAAATATTTTGATATAAAATATAATACATAATATACATATACACCGATATATAGGGAATGTAAACATAGAAACTCACACATGTGGTGAAACATTCTTTGTGTATATGTTATCAGGAAGCAATGCATACATGTTTACACAGACATACATTCAGCATCACTCTTGAGTTTCTTGCAAAAACATTCAAAAACATTCAAACACATACAAACCTCACGCCACACACAAGCACGCACGCACGCACGCACGCATGCACGCACGCACGCACGCACGCACGCACGCACGCACTCACACACACACACAGATATACACACAGATACACACATGCAGACTTTTACAACAGCTCTCTCTATTTCCTGCAGTTTCTCTTTTGGCCTCTCAGCTTTCTAAAAGTGCTTTTAAATGTAAATGTTTAGGACAGAGCTTTGCTTGTTCCCCTTAAGGAAAGGCTCATTGGCTCCTTTCCTGGCAAGGACAAAGATTTGGAGACCCCTCTGTTGTACATTCAAATACACACATACACATGCGTGTTTATGTCAGCACCTTTTTTGATGTTCTACTTTGGCTCTCTCTTTAAACACATGCAGCTTTATGAGTAGAAACAGCTGTAACCGATAGATGGTTTTGAGGTTTGACAGATGGAAACGTGCTTCCTTTCTCTGCTCTGTGTTACCCACAAGACTTTCAGGAACACCCACAATGCAGTAGGGTGTGGGGGGGAGTGTTGGCACTGGATGCCATGCTATTAGAGAGCCCTGCTAATAAAGAGTAAACCAACTCAGCTGACACGAGGCGATCAGTTCTGTGTTTCCTAACAGATTTCCTCTGCTACAGTGAGTAAAGCCTCACTCAAAGAAAAAGGCAGTGGGTTTACCTGATGATCTTTGCAGAATAGAACTATATGAGTTGGCAGCTTTGATGCCTACTAACCAAAAAAAAGCCTCTGGTCACAGTGGGTGTCCATATATTGTTCAAAGAACTGCTTTACTCCATGCTGTGCTATATTAAGTTTCTGTTATCCTGCCTCATGTGGAGCAAAAGTCATCTTAATGTTTGTTCATTAAAATGAACGTAAAGATGTCTTAATGCCTGCTTCAGATGCTGTTGTTTGTTTGCTTCGTCTTTTATGTTGGAGGTAAGGTGCTTTTTTATGAGATGCATGGGGCTTTCTATCAGACATACACTAATTAGCAGCTTACACCTCTGCTTTCTGTTGTGCATCAGCATATTTTACTTGTCACTGTTTTTTAAATCACTTTGCGTCTCGCTGTGCAATTAAACTAAAGGAGAGCTGACCTAAAATGCTGCTACACCAGATGCTACTGGAAACATATGTTGTTAGGAACCCATCCTGAATACATGAAGCAGAAATGTTCCATTTGGTCATTAAATATGAAAGCTTAATGGAAGTTTTCCCCTTTTTCATTTCAACCACATGTAACAGCACTTGAAATCATACTTTTCCACTGATAATAAGCTGTCCTTAAGGAACAGCCTTCATTGCCATGACCCATATAGCCCAATCATCTGTGGGATGAACTGACAGAGGGGTCCTATCATGTTACAAAATGAATGGCATTACCCACAGTTCCCCACTGCTGAATGGAGCTACTCATTGTTTTCTCTTTTGAATGACGAGACCATGCATGAACAGGGATACAAAAGCTTTTTGCATATGTTGTGGTCTCTCATGCTCACATGGGTGTGGCTGCTTTTGAGAGTAAAAGTCAAACTGAAGAGCACCTGAGGATGTGGGTGCAGGTGTGTCATGAAGATGGGATAATGATGCAGTAGAGAATTTGCATAGGTGAAAGTGCATGTGTTTACAAACTAACCTGCAGCTGTGATCCTTCGGGTTTCCCTGCAGAGAGGAAGCAGCTCGGGCCAGGCCCAGCCGTGAGAAGGAGTGGAAGTACGTGAGCTGCGTGTCTGACAGGCTGGTAAAGCCATCTGGCTCATCGTACACATTCTCCCAGTATGAGTTGAGGCTCGCTGTTCCCTGGGGAAACGGTCCGAACAGATAGGTGTCCAGCTGGTTGACTATCTCCTGGTTCACGCTGGCTTCAAACTTCCGGGCGAAGAAGGTGGGCCGCACCGTTTGCTGCACAGGGAAAAGTGGAAGAAAGGAGGGACAGGGGACAACAGAGCAGGGAGGGATGAGATAGAGGGAAGAATAAAAGTAAAAGATGAGAAGGTGTAACAGGAGGGCGGTCGGTGAACAAATGAAATGTTTAAGATGTGTTTGGAGATTACGTGTAGGCGGATAGAAGAAAGAGACGGTATACATTAAAGCAAAATGACTCCTCACTCTTTCTCACTCACTCAGTCAGGTTTAAGGCCATCACTGATTGGACCTGAAGGAGTCCATGGTCTCTCTTTAATTTCTATGTTTGATAAGCATTATAAATCTATATTACAGCACAACTTGTTCTCTTATCGACAGTGGTTCCCCATCTGGAAGAGGTGATGAGGGGATGTTCTATTAAAAGACTAATGCATTAACATTAAGTTAAAAAAAGAACTATAACATGTACTTTTACGTTTACTTTTTTTTTTTTATTGATCCCCTCAACGGGATTTACACTCTGTAAGTCATGAACACACACTTGCACAAACAGGATCCTATGGACATGCACTAATGGAGAGAATCCAGAGTGATGGAGCGGCCCACAGCGGGCTCAAGGGCACCTCGGCAGTGCTCAGGAGGTGATCTGGCACCTCTCCAGCTACCAGACCAACTTCTATATTTGGTCCGCACCGGGACCTGAACCCAACCCAAGTCCCTACAGACTGAGCTACTGCCGCCCCGGTAACTACAGATACTGTCCTTTAACAAGAGGATGTGAAATTAATAATTAAGAGAGATCTGAAAAAGGTCAATCCCAGCCCAATCAATCTATTGATGAAAGCAAAAGCTGCTGCTAACGACGATCTGTGTTAGAAGCCCATCAGTAGAAGCCAGGCTCTCAAGTAGACGGCGCTCTCCCAACCTCAGCGAAGGCACTACTACCACCTGACGTCCCTGACGCCCAGCCAACACCATCAGACTGTCATCCCCACAGCCAACGCCGTCCTCATTCATGCACGGCTGGCTTTGACCTCCACCTCAGCGGCAAGGAAGTGTGGACAACAGGAACGCGAGGAATACCAATGAGAAATCCTTCCTAGATTGTATCCCATCTGCATCTTTTGTAAAGTGTCTCGAGATAACACTTGTTATGAACTGACGCTGTAAGTAATGATTGGTTGATTGATTGCTGATTTTGGTGCATTGCTCAAACTGCGAGTCAATCAGTGAATGTTGGTCAGACAGCTCAAGGTTTTTGACTGAGAAGGAGAATAAAAAGTTTCTGGAGGCACCAAAATGTTACCTTCAGAGAATCTCAAGCATACAGCAGTACTGTTCCTTTGAATCTATTCTTCATCTCTAGATCAACTGGTCTTTGAATTTGCCCTTCTGTCTGGCCTCCTCCACTGCATTCATGTCTTTTCTCACCTCTCTCCATCCGAGCTGCCCTTGTGCTACAGTATGGTTGATAGTGCATCATGAAAACTGCCACCTCCACAGCTTGGCTTACACACAAAGCCATCTTTTCAGTCCCAGACACAAAACTATTTACCATTAGTTACCCAGCTCTGAACACCTTGGTGCTACTGCTACAAAAAAAGAGAAGGCCTAATTGAGCCTTGTATGTATTCTCATACTGGGGAGGTGACTGTGGGATTTTGGTGTGGCTTCACACAGCTCCTGATGATTCTTCAACTCTCAGCGACTGGCTACAGATACCAAAAGAAACTTGGAGCAGGGATTTTATTTGTTTTTTTTCTCCCCCCTCATTCCCAGGTTTTAATTTCCTCCCTGCAGTCAACTGAAAGTGCCAATCTGTCACAGCTCGTATTTCTTAAATGCAGCTCAGTCTGAAACATGTTACTAAACAATGAAGCACTAAAAAAAAAAGAACATCACCCTTCTTCCGCTCTACAATAACCCCTCCCCTGATGACTTTAAATTCACTCTGTGGGAACTAGACAGTTGTTCCTTGAATTATTTCTCTCATCTGCAAACCAAATTGGAGCCTACTTTACTTGTCTGTATCTTCTCCAATGCTCCGGTTCAAAGGGAAACTGAGATTGTGCGCTCAAAGGGATATTAAGTCCTTTTAATACCATGGCCTGGCTAGCTCTGGAAAGGCTGCCATGTTCCCAGGGTTGAACTTAACTGATACAACTGTGCCAACATGACCCAGCGGCAGTGCCAAGGACCTGTGGTAATGTGCTGGCACTGAGCTGCCAGAGACTGAGGCGAGACAGCCGGCAGACGGGCCTGGCAAGGAGCGGAGTGAGGTCAGTGCGAAGGCTTTGACTGGTATGAGAAGGACAGGGGAGTCGAAGTGAGTCATGGCTCTTAAAGGAAATGACTTGAAGTGATATTAAACCGTGGCAGAACATTCTCACTTTGTAGTGCAGCTTTTACTTTTTAGGAGCACATTAAAAGTCAAACAGATACAGTCTTTCTCTGGGGTCTTAGAGTCGCTGCCACTCATTCACTTCTCTCACTTACATTTTAGAGGGCCAACTAACCCTCTAAGCTCCCCCTCATACTCGAAGCAAAGAGGACCTAATTACCATTATTTTCCTCCCCCCTTTCAGGGTCATACTAATCGAGACATAACTTTGCACATATTGATTGTGAAGGCCGTGGAAACAAGTTGAACGCTGACGTTCAGAGGACAGACTGTGAGGGCAAAGAATAAGCTGTTTTTCAAAATATGCACTCCTTACAATAATTAGAAAATGTCAGGACAGCCTGCCTCTGAACTCTTTCACACTCATCCCATAAAGTGTTTGAGGTGTGGGGGTGTCTCAGGAGGCAGGACGTGATCTCAAAAGGATTCTGCAGTCGTTATGTTACAAGAAATCCAAGATGGTGGGCAAAGCAAAGTCTGACGCACCAATACCTTTATACAGTATCAAGGTTGTATGATATCGGAGGTATTGATAGTGTCAACGAAAGAGTGGAAAAGAACTAACTGTTGGGGAGAAAAAAGCATGAAGCTGATTTATTAAATGCCTGACGATCCCACTAGTCCCTCAATGGCTGTGCAGTGTAAACGTCATTGGGTGTAATGTTGGGTAATGCCTGGGAGGAAACTACAACGCCCAGTGCTGACTGTTTCTGGGGTGACGTCATTTCCTCCCCAATTGCTTGTGAGAAGCTGCTGATTGGTAAATTGGGGCGCACCTGGTCAGGACGCGGGGCGACAGCAGCAGCAGCAGTACAGAGACGAGTCCCATTCTGTGAACTTTCTTCTCCATTCTAAATGCGTGGCTGGCCACATTTACATGCATAACAGTTGTTCATGGCGGCCCCACTGTGGGTATGCTCGTTTAGTTTAGTAAGTTTAGCATAGCACCAACGGAGCTGTGCTCGTCAGATGGTGAAACTGTCAACAACCAGCGGCATCATACTTTCCACCTTCTCTCCACCAAAAAAACAAATATCTGAACTCAATAAAATGGAACGAGCTGGTGGCTCATGGGAGCTGGAGATTTTGTTATTCGGGACACTGAGGAAAGACACCTTCACCGAGGTCCAGATCTATCACCAAGCAACAACCAAGTAAGTAGAGCTGCCTTGTTGTCAGCCGCCTCATGTTTGCAGACCAGCCCCGAACTTGCTTTTTTCTACAATTCTACAACTCACTTCAGCAGACGCTTTTATCCAAAGCAGAGTACATCAGAGAGTAAGTATTTTTTATTTTTTATATGTAAATACATGCTGCTGTTTTTATCCTGCACTACAACGGGCCAAATGCAACGAAATTTCGTTCTTATCTGCACTGTAAAGTACAAGTTTGAATGACAATAAAGAAAGTCTAAGTCTAAGTCTAAGTAAGTACAACACAAGCAAGGATTTCTTTTTCCCCAGTATTTTTAGGTTAGGCTATAAAAAAGGAGTTTAGTTTAAAGACCTGTAATTTATGCAGATATTGATTTTGTCTTTGTGAAAGTTCATCTTTTTTGTCTGTATATGTCATATGTCATACTGGATTTACATTCATTCTGCTGAGATTTATTCATTTTGTACCTCCTCTACCTGCACACTTTCCTGGGATTTAGAGAATCTTTCTCTTTCAATCCCCTTTGACACATTTCCTATAGTTCCATCCCTGCCTACATGATTGAAAACTTCTTCTTGTTAATATGCTGTGCTAATAGCTACTGTAGAGATCAGAATAAACAATATATATCAGATGGAGCTAAATACATTGATCAGTGAATACAGCTGTTAACATTTGAATCCTGTGATCACTAAAGATCTGCTCTGAAAGATCACTCACACAGATTACGAAACGGCTGAAGTGGCTCTTTGCAATCCATATCAACTTGATTTAAACAGATTTCTAGTCATTTATACCGTTCTTATCTGGATATACAGAATGTGAAGAAAACGACATAAAACAGATGGAAACACACATAAATTATGTATTTTACACGAGGTTGATAGTTTAACTTGAGATGAAGGCGGATTTCTGCATTTTGTTTTAATGGCAACTTCAGTCGAATCATCCGAAGTTTAGAGGCTTTGCCTGCAGCTATTTCTGTGTGATGTCTTTCTCGCCGGCAGCAAGAGTATTTTAAAGAAATATTTCAACTTCATCAGGAACGTTGCTCTGATCATTTTGAAGCCTAAAGACTAGTGAACTCCTGAAAAACAGGAAAATGCCCATGTTGACAGTGAAATGGTAAACACAGTGCATTGGTCAGACATTATCTCCTACCATGCTGTGTAGAGTTTTTCCTGAGCAAGCCTTTGTGTACGATACCTTTCAGTTATAGAGTTGTTCAGAGCACCTACAGAGAGCCCTGACCCACTGCTGCCACTCGCTCTGCTTCTGGCCAGTGGATGATAAAAGATTGCAACAGATTTTCTCCACATTAGTGTTCTGCGGGTGTTGTTACCTGGAAGCGGTGGAAGTCGGCAGGTTTGAAGTCGTTCGGGGAGCATCCACACCAATCCACGATGTGCTTGTACTGGCACTTACAGCCCAGTTTGCGGTTCCAGTTGGTGATGCGCAGGTTGTTATCCACCATGCTCTCACAGTGGGCGCTGTTCTCCAGCACCGTGTGGAAGAACGACTGAGTGTTAAAAAACAGAAACGGAGAGGCAGGGGTTGGGGGGAGGAGGGTTGAGGCAGAGACAGAGACAGAGACAAAATTAGAAAATTGTATACCTCTTATTTTTTACACCATTCAATTTCGCTGAGAGGAAATAGAGTAGCAGCAGAAAAAACATTCACAGGAGCTCATGATAAAAATCCAATTTCCCCTCAGAGATCACTCAGCTCTCATCCAATCCTTGTATACAGACAGAAACTCAGCCTTTGCATTTTCCCAGAGTCGGAAAGAAACAAGTGTCTACTGTTTCTAGAAGCGATGGAGTGTTACTCCAAATCGATTCTCATGTGTCAGTCAAAGGTTAACAAACACTTGAATGTGTGAAAGTGTGTGTGCGTGTGTGTGTGTGTGTGTGTGTGTGTGTTACCTCTGCAGGCAGCAGAGTGTAGGCGTAGAAGCGCTTCATGTTGGTGACCAGATCGTCCTTGGAGTTTATAACATATTCGACAAACATGCGGTTGAGAAGGAACCAGTCAGAACCACCGTCCACAGAGATGCCTTCAGGGATTTTGCGGTCACCCAGCCGCCACATGTGTGTGTCGCACTCAAGGAAGAGACGATCCAGACCCTGCTTACGAATGAACCTAAAGAACACACACGGATATAATATGGTTAGACTTTATACATTTATGAGCCAATAAATACAAAAGATAGCAAAAATAATAAGGTAAAATCTTGTTTGTTATATCTCTGGCAAAAAACAAACAAACTACAATTTAAAAATCCAGCCAATAATCTGACTCTAACAATAACAATGTTGAAACTAAAAGAGCATTCTCCAGTTCTTGTGTTATATTTATATTACATTTGTGCATAATCAGCATTTTAACTTGTATTTTGGAGCTGTGATGAACTCAAATGGCCATTTTATATTCTAATTCAGTAAACTATGATTTCTTTAAGCATGACATCCAATTTGGCAGTGCTTGTAATTAAGACTATTTTATTGTCAAATTTGACAAACTTGATCCCCAGCTCCTGCAGCAACATGTCAGCTGTGTCCTTGGGCAAGTTGCTTGACCCCAAGTTGCTCCCACTGCTTTGTTGGCAGTGTATGAATGTGTATGAATGGGATTAGTTACTTCTGATGGTCACTTTTACACAGCAGCCTCTGCCATCAGTGTGTGAATGGTGTGCCTTGTGGTGTAAAAGTGCTTTGAGTAGTCAGAAGACTAGAAAACTGCTATACAAGCGCAAGTCCATTTACCATAAAAAACAAGAGAAGAGCTAGAGAAGCATTCTCAGATACAGTATGTTCAGGTAAGTCTAGTCTAGGGTTGTAATGACACCAGAGTTTTAAGTTTCTACACCATACAGGTAAAAATCCAACAACACTGATACCTCTTGTTACCATGTCAACAAAAAAACAAGTCCAAGGCACCAAAATATCGGCTTGATTTTGTGTTTTTGATCTCTTGTTGTATGTAAAATATGACAGGAGATCTGTAATTTTTGAACACTTAGTTCATTTCCGATATTATAGTTAAAATAATGGTGATTGTATTGTTTCAAAACAGGTGGTTGACAGCCATTGTCTACCTGCTCAACCATTACAACAAGAGACTACGCTGACTAAACATATTACAGCTAGATTACTTAAAACAGTTCCAACATGACTTTGTTTTGCATTCAAACTGAATTTGTCTTCTATCCTTGACCTGAAATGACTCCACAACTGTGATGTTCACACTTGTCACGACACACTTTCATCAGCAAACAGAGGAGTGACACCCTACATTCATAACAGCTGGTGCTACAGCTATAAACACATCAGGTGCCAGATGAAGGGAGTCAAATGCAGGTCACACAGGTCACATAGTTCCTGCTGTTTTTTTCTCTCGACAGCAACATAAAGAGTTAATTCATTGAACTCGTTGCTCACATTGATTTTTTCAGCATTTCAAGCATTTTTTTAATGATTTCAATTCTTTCCAGTCATCCACACAGACATGCAGAGGCAGATTCGTCAGATTAGCATCATTGTTATGAATACTCAATTAAAGCAGGAGAAAACACAGCCCCTCTCCCAACACACAGCACTGAATAAAATACCGTGACTGCAAACACAAAAAAGGTACCGCTGAGTCACGCTGACTCATGCATCCATGCTGGATTTTTTTCTTCATGTGTTTGCGGGTATTTTCGCCCAAAGTGTCGGGTGATGACTGGTTTGTCAGCGGGTGGTGATGAGGCAGGAAGTAGAGGGTGGCAGAGGAGGTTGGTTGCTACAGAGACGAGCGCTCAACGCTGCAGTGACCTCGCTAGCTCCCCCCACCAAGAAGGTTAATTAATAAAGCCACAGATGGGAGCTAATTGTAATTTGATTCAGTGACCAAGCTGCTGCTGGGAGGAGTACGCTGTGCGTGCACATAGGTGATTGTGTGTGTGTGAGTACGAGAGAGGCAGAATGGTGGCGTGTTGTGAGGAGATTAAAGTTTATAAATTTTAGCGTCTCACCTGGCGTTGTCTCTGCCGTGGGACTTGATGAAGTTCATGTCTCTGTATTTGGACAGGAAGGCCACGAGCTGGTTGTTGGTCCTGAAAAAGATTAAATGACTTACTATTGATTGGAAAACATTTGGAGGTGGAACTCTGATGTTAAAGTACAGTTGAAGCTAAAGGTATCATTTAAATTCTGGAGGACAACTATGTAAATAAAACCACCTGTTACTTTCAAAAAACATTCAGCCAAACTAAACATTTTCAATTTCTATGGATATTCAGTTCTGCCTTTTTAAACGTTAAAATTATATTCTAAAATCTTAGAAAATGTAAACCCCTATATCATTAAACTCCCCCTCTTTTCTCTTCTGGTAAAATGTTCAAACTCTTTGGATAACATGTAGTTCCCAACACATGGTGCTTAAAACCTCCACTGTCAACTTATGTCAGTTGAATTGCCTACGTATACCATGTGATGCACCTCTGTAGTCACAGCCTCAGCCTTACATCTGCTGTATACCCTTACTCAGATGAAATACACATACATGAAGCTATCTAAGCCAAACAATTCAACATGTATCCTAATGAACAACATCGTCTCATATTTTAGGATGCCACCTTCTCCGTTCTTATCATACCCTGTAGCTAACTTGAAATATAATTAAAGCATCAACAAGAAATACAGGCTTGAATAGCCTCTCATTCTTCCTGACCACCAACTCATTCACATGACACCTGTAGGTATTCTTAACACCATATACCTAACTCAGATAGATAGAACTGCTGGGTTTCCTTCTGAGAAAAGTTCAATTCACTTTAAAATCTCTTTTAAAAACTCTGCTTCATCCCTCAATTAAAAATCAAGACTGTACAGAAAAGCATTTATTGATTGTTTGAACCACAAAGCTCAGAATGTTTTCTCAGCTGAAACGTTCTGTCATAACATAAGACCATGACTGGTTCCAAAATGGTTTGGCGGTCACACACAGTGCTTCAAGGACATTTTTTTGCCCTTCTATAAAAACAAACTCTGCTCATTCATTGCTCTGCATCTAGACGTCTGGACTTCTTTTCCCTTTGATGTTATGGAGAAGATCTTTGGCTTTGGGGCAACATTTTAAGGGTCTTTACGTCTCATTCTGATCAATAAAAGACCTCAGTTGCTCTAAGTGTCTGCCCCTCAGTCCCTTCAAGCCGCTTAAACTATTTAGGATTATACAAAAGATTGTGCTTTCCATGATTTGATGAATGACTTCATGCTGCTAATACACTGTAGAGCAGTCTGCTTTCTTACATACAGGGCAGACAGGCTAAAAGCTTTGCTCTGCAGGCTATGCCCCAGTCAATGGTTCTAACATTTCATCTGTGGTGGGGCCTTTCATGATGGCTTGGCTTGCCTTTCTAAAAGAGCAGCAAGGCTCTGGAAAAAAAACGCTCAAGGATCAGCGGGGGGAGGGACGAGCGCATATTAATGTCATTTTCTCTTGAAGGAGCAATTTCACAGCCTGGGGGGCTTATCTAAGGAGGTCCTGAGCCATAAAGCCTAACTGATGATGTGCTGTACGGACACATGCAGTCCTCTCTGTCTCTGCTTCCCACACACACACACACACACACACACACACACACACACACACACACACACACACACACACACACACACACACACACACACACACACACACACACACACACACACACACATGCAAACACACTCTGTAACTGCTAGTCTGCACACTAACAATACAGTATACATCCACAGAGACACACACATTCTCATAGGCATGCACACACGCACAAACACAGAGCAAGGGGAATTTATGTCAAGCTCCAGATTTGCCACCTGAGTGGTCACCCCGTCCACTGGGTCTAGTTTGCTTACTGTCAGCCCTGTGGCTGCTCCGTCTCACAGCGGTTTTCACTTGCACAAATTAACACACACACACACACGCACACACACACACACACACACACACACACACACACACACACACACACAAAAGGGCTGCAGGTTCCTACCCCAACTAATAAATAAAAATATACCGTTTTAGAATCAGTGGCAATAAAACTTAATATCATGCCACTGTTTCACTTAAGGTGAAATAAATGATGTTCCATTTTATAACACAGACTTTAAATAAACCTTTCAGAGGGCAAGAGTTGAATTTCAGTAGCTGGCAGGTTATGAACCCACACTCTTACCAAACTTTCATCATATTCTCCTTGAAAAATCTACAAAAAGTTCTGGAACTCAATATTAAAATTCAGTTAGCTTTTCAACAAGTTTTTTTATTCTATTTACAACTTTAAGGATTAAAAAAGGAAATGAGTAAGGTAGATCGTCAAAGGGTTATAGAGGCTTTTCACACATCGAAATGACACCTAATACATGGAACAAAGCAAAAAAGAGATACATCAGTTTCCTTAGGCAGAGATGAAAAAGTGAAAGAGATTAGAAGATACGACGCCTGCCGGTCTATGTCTCACAGAGCTCAGGCTTCTTTCAAGCCGCTGTAAAGTCAATGAAAGGGGCTTTAAAGGGGGAAAAGAGGTAAAAGTAAGGAGACTGTGAAGATAAAAGCTGGGAAAGATGTCTGTACTCTGACAAAGCAAGCGTGTAACTCATCCTCTGGCCTCTGTGGACACACACACACACACACACACACACACACACACACACACACACACACACACACACACACACACACACACACACACACACACACACACACACACCACACAGTATATCTCCCCCTGGACACACAGCCCCTCTGCTGGTGTGAGGGGCTCTGGGTTTGCCTTTGAGAGCCATCCATGCGGCAGGACAGACATTATCAGGGAATTAGAGGGGAAATAATGCTTGTCTCCAGTCCCACTGATAACAACAGCAGTGGTCAGGGCAGATCAGGGCAGGGGGGCCCCCGCCCCCTTTCCTGCTGGCCCTGAGCTGTGTGGTCGCAGCAGAATAAAACTATTACCATTTGGGGAGTCTGCAACCAAAATACTGTTTTCACACATGCCCTCCTGACAGGCTGCCCCAGCATGAAATCTTTCAGAGTTTCTTATTTATGCGTGTCCCTCACAAGCATTAAGGTTTCCCTGGGGCAACACATCAACAAAAAAAATCATAAAAATATGACATTATAAAGATGTTGTGGGGATCAAAGTGTCAGAGTCTGACATAATGACAACTGTTATCTTAAATCAATGTTTGTTATTAGACTTATTCACAGAATCAATGAAGAAGAACTACGGGTGAGCAGAAAAGAGCAGAAACAGCTTCATTACATTCGCTGTGTGAAATGAAAGTTTTACTAGGGGGCTGGCAGGAAAAAGTTGGGGTGAAGAATTTGGCAATTTGCAGCTCCCCTTGAATATTTGGGAAATTTTCAGATGTTTAATTAGCATGTGTGAAGACAACAATTAACTGCATTTGAATTTTCCAAAACATACTGGGATGTTCAAGCTGCAAATGTCCCTGGGTAATACATCTTTCTTCTATTTTCAAAATACAGCATTAGATGTACTTTAAGAAAATACTGCCAAAGGTTCACAATATGTATTTCAGCTGAACAAATGTAGTAAAACGTGTTGAAATATTGAATCATGGATTGAAATTAACTGACAAAGAATTTGGCAGAGTTATCACAGTTGTCCACTCTCACCATAAAGCAAATGTTTTTACAATTGTGTTCAATTTTAAAAGCAAAGATATGGAGAGACATGATACTGTTCAGTATGGCCAAAACTTGTAACTTTTATATTCTAGTCTCTCCTTGAAGGAATTTATTGTGCTGCACATAAATCTTTACATGAAAAAGATGTGTAAAAACTAAAAAAAGACAATTGAAAGACATTCTAATAACTGCATAAATCTGGTACTAAGTTTAGGGGAAAAAAAGAAATGATAAAACATAGCTCCCCTAAGCTATACAGCTATCCAAAAGCAGTTCTGTTGAAGCAGAGTGACAGCTTTGCACATTGTTGTGTTTGCAATCTTGCCGAAAAGGAATCTGCTTATTGAAACACTTTTTAAATGCAATAGTAAGTGTGTAATGATAGTATCATGCTGAGATGCTTGTTTCATCAGGAAAATGTCTCCGTCCATCTAATCCCATTCTGAAAGAAATCAGTAAGGATGCTCAGTGAAAAAACAGCTGAATCAGTGTCACTGTCCTGCTGGAGGACACATAAGTGGCACATATGCTCTCTTAGCCACTTATGTGCCCTGCCACTAAAAGGACCCAATCCGCAAATTCAAGACGTAAATATGCAGTGCTCAGACTTAGTCGAATCCAGTTCAATTTCCATATTTCCATATTGCATGGATCCAAAACATGCAGTTTCCTCTTGTTCCCCTTCCCTAACTGCTTATTCTCGCTCCCTCGCCTCTCCCTGTCATATCTGCCTCTCGGCTTCCTCTTTCGCTCCATCAATCGTTTCGTTTCCCAACAGATGGGGCTTAAAACCTCTACTGTCAGCCCTTTTCTGACACAACATCTCCCTCATGCAAATGAGGAGGCAAGAAAAAATCCGGAAGAAAACAGTGCCTCATGGTTCACGAATCACAAATACCTTTAATCACCACAGAGAGACACACAGAAAGACAGACGATCACACAAGGTTAATATGCACACGTGTACACCGACAGGTGCTGAAACACACTGAACTATGCAGACAGCGAGACATAAACTCAGATGTGCACACACTAGTGCACATGCATACACAGACAAACAGGCACGGACAATCATGTCAGCAGCGTTCATCGATATGCTGGAAAAATCTAAACACAACAAGACTGAAGTTGTCTACGCACCATAAACACTCCCCCCCCATCTTGTCTCCAGCTGTTAGACATCAGACCCAGCTTCCTTTTACCCAGTGGCCATTACAGCTTGTCTAAATTCAACGGGTGGACATCTGGCTGCATAGAAGAGATAACTCTCTCCTTAATAGGAGGACTTTAATTGGCTGCTGCAGAGCTACATCAAAAACCCAGCAGACCCTGAACTCCCAAAAGGACTATAAACTCAGAAAAAAAAAGGAGAAGTCAAAGAATTTCTCCTCCAGTCTTTTATTTCCATGACCTCACATCCAGTCGATGTAGACTTTGCTGCTTTAATTACCCTTTACAGCTTTTTTAAAGAGCTGTTTTCCAGTGGAAATACAACTTTTGGACTGTACAGTACACAGCAAGCCGGGTAAGTCAATAGGTATTGACCCTGGGCAATTAAATAGTAATCAGTTCACCATGTAACCCATTCAATGGAGTGCAAGCGAGGAAGCAGGGCCTTGGAAGAGAATGTGTTAACGAATGGTGTTTGAGAAAAGCAGAGATTCTGCCTCATTGATCTGTTTGTTTTGGACTGACTCTTATTTAAAAGCTCAGAGTTAACCACAGGAGCCCTGACCGGTGTGTATTGAATTTCTCCCATATTGGCTTAGAGCGTTCTGCTACTGTTGTGCCCTGGTGACTGCCTTTGTCACCTATATTAGTTGCTTGGCCCTCAACCTCACTTCATTTCCTTACGGGACAATTAATTACCTGCCTGCCTGCCCCCCAGGAATCCCCTACCATCCTTCACTTCAGTCCACTATCTGAGAGATCCATCTTTGTTACCTGATGGGGTAGTCGGCAGCACTGAGGTTGATAAAGAAATCCCAGCTCCAGTCCCTCATGGCCAGCAGGTCAGCCATGCTGCGGAGATACATGGTCAGCAGACTGGCACCGCCCCAGATGGTGGCCATGCGCCAAGGTGTCACCCTCACATTCGGATACTGGGCAGCCAAGGCATGCACCTGTCTGTGCAGGTAGTTTGAGCGCTGAAATATAAAGAATGAACACACACATACTTACATTGTGTTTGTTCTAAAGAAATTACATTTTTACAAGTTAATGTAAAATAGGGACACTTGTTGACATTCTAACCAACCATCATTTATAAAAAACAATAGATTAATAGGCAAGACTGTTTTCACATTACAGGTACATCTGTGGCTCACCTGATCGACATGGATGTAGTAGAAGTGTGACGTGTGGTAGATGGCTTTGAAGAGGCGGTGAAACTGGCGAGAGGCTCGTCCATGGACCACCAGTACAAACGCTATCCTTACTGGTTTTAATGGAAAGCTCTCAGCAGAGTCCTCATCCCACTGAACGTTAGCGTTGGCCTTACCTTGGAGGCACAATGAAAGCAATATGTAAATGAATGTAATCATACCATTAAGTACAAATCATGTTTCTCATTTAATTCATATAATACTGCACGGATACTTCTTCAGTAACATAATCAGGGGTTGTTTGCTTGATTGATTACCAAATTAAACCTGTTGTTTATTTGATCATCCATGAGAGGCAACAATAGCGCTGGTAGTTATTATATGATGGGGAGCACATACGATATGTTGGAGGGACCCGGAAAGCAATTGCAAAAGCACAATGAATAAAGTTATAAAAGGTAGGCTCTTTAATGTTATTCTTTTAAACCGAAATAGGTTCATGAGGTTGCTAGGCAACATAGAAATAGGCAGTTAGAGTGGTATGATTACTGAATCAGCTGCTTTGCCAGAAGCGAACAGTCAGTGCTCGTTTTGACATTGTCTCTCAATTTTACATGATTATGCACAATAAACAAGCCATGCTACATATGAGATAAATATTTAAAAAGGTTGAATAACAAAAGTTATACGGCCCTGATAAAGAAAACATGACCATGAAACCACTCATCTATTTTCATATGTGATTAAGTTGAAAGTTTGACAGATTTTACCACTGTAACTACTAATCTCATTCAAACAGGGAATTTATGAGGGATTCCTCTGGGTCTTTCAGGGTGGAGCACGGTTTAAAGACGTGCTTTTATTCCTCGCCCAGGAAACACTCTGACAAATAGCATGCAGGCTAACACAACAGGCTTACACAACCCTGGTCCCTGCCTCCAAAGCCACTATCAAATTAAACAATTCCAACAATCCCTGGAGACCCATTAGGAATTCCATATATCTCCATTGTGTGGTTTTGTACCACCCTTAACTGCTGGAAAAACAAGCACTTGCACCTCAAGCTTTTGTCGAAGCAGTTCTGTGCCACCGTGTCCCCCAACATCATTCCAGACATTGTTTGTTTTTAAATCTTCAGTTATTGCAGCGAATGTGCACATACAGCTTATGAGACATGTTTGTTCCCAGAACGTGCCGTAAGGAGATTAATGACTTTAATTTGGGACTTCAGTTCCCAAGAGTCCGTTTTGTGCTGAGGAAGAAGATGAAGCTGAGGGAATTCTGAGGCAGAGAATGTTTACTCCCCTGAGGTAACGTTTCCTCAAAAAAAGCCCCTCCCAGCTCCTCTCCCTGTCTGGCCCTCGGGTCCTGTAATTACTCTAGATTTTAGGGCGAGTTTCCAACATGTCTTCTCTTTATGAGTTGACAGGACGACTGAGAAGGTCTTCTCCCTCTTGTTAAAGTAATCTCATTCATTCAAATACAAGGGCAGGTGTCCAACACAGCTTTGTTCAGAAGTTGACCACAAAGTTGGGTTAATGACACGCTCCCTTGGCCACTATTGGCCCCAATTGGCTGTGGCTCTTGTCAGTCACTTGCTTATTTCTGGCTTCTCTCTCTTTGCTTGAGTGTGTGTGGGTGGGTGCATGTTTGAGTGTGTGACGGCTCAGGGGGGGGGAATCTGCTGTGGGCCGTATCAGATTGAACGGTAATTGGTGGCCAGCTAAGAAGGTTCACTGGTTTGCTTTGCGCACAGATAATTGGCCAGTCTCTCCACAAAGCACTTTGAGAGTGTGAGCTATGCTAGCTAGCTGAACTAATGAGCACTGCTATGTGTGTGTGAGAACTTAAATTTTACTGTCAGGTTTGTCCAACATGTGTGTTTATCTGCAGAAGAGCATTAAATGTTGTTTTTTTTTCACACTGAGTGTGCACTTGAAGAGACTTCAGGCTTATTCTGAAAAAACCCCCCCAAAAAAACAGAAGCCCTTCACTTGAACTCATCACTCTTCATCATCCTTCCAATCGCCATCAATCTTTTAAACGACCTCTCCCTCATCTGCTATCACCCCACTCTGTTCTTCCATCATCTTGTGTAACTTCAGGCTGCTACCCACCCTACATCTTAACTGCTCTTATAAGAGGTTAGAACAAGAGCTGAGCTATATCCCACCAAGGGTTTGTATCAAACTGCATTTTAACATGTCTCTGGGATGGTGTTTGCCCCTAGCAACTAAATATATAGCCTGGTTTGGAAACATCGTTACTGTCTATGGATTTTCTATAGGCCTACACAATGATACATTGAAATGACTTTTCAAAACCTGCAATATAACTTGTTGGGCAAACACAACCATGAACACAACACATGTTCAACTTTAAATGATGATGATAGGGCAACACTCATAGCTAACAATTCCCTGTTGACACCCAGTAGATACAAAACAGCAACAGCTTTCCTCTAGAGATAGCTACAATAACAACATCATGCTAAGCAAGCTAACATGTTGCGGTCAAAGACAGCATGCTTCCAAACCCACTAAGTGAGAGCCAAACAATCATTCTGAATTAACTCGCCTTAGAAAGGTCCAGAGCATACACCCCTGTCCACAACACAAGCTTACATCATCAGCAGAAAGCTTCAAATTATTATCCAGCTAAGTGAAATATGTAGTGCATTAAAGCTAAATGCTTTATTGCATTTATCTGTTGGTTTGTCCCTAATGGCAATCTGTCACTAAATATTCATTGTTTATGACAGAAAGTTTTTTTTCACCATTTCTTTTCACTTATAATTATTCACTTTTAATATTTCACTTTTAATTCCATTAAAGTTACTGTAGTTGCCCCAATTCACTCACTGCCAACTAGAAGTCATGCTGGATCCATGCAGCCGTCATATCATGACAAGCTGAGTTAGCATATGCCAGTGACTGAATGCTGCTACTGTATTCAATGATGCTAATAACAGAGCTAACACTTATTGCCAATCCACCCAAGGCCTCAAGGGCAGAATGCCGATCAAATCAAATTGGACAATTTTGTGCTAACAAGGTTAGGACTTGAATTTGGATGGGTTACAGAAGACAGAAAAGAGAGAGAGAGAGAGAGAGAGAGAGAGAGAGAGAGAGAGAGAGAAAGAGAATACATTGGCAGGCAGCAGGCAGGCAGACGGAGAGTAAGAACGAAAAGTGATTTAATTTAGCTGTTGTGTTGTTACAGCCCAGCCACCAGGGGAAAGCCCTTTTCATTTCTTTGTCTCCTTTGATCAAACTGTCGGTTTGAGTGGGATGGTGAGTTGCTGTGTTAGATGACAGGAGCTTAGGCACAGACAAACGATACTCCTGCACTTGGGAAGGGGAAAATACAAAAGATGCTAAGTCACGGTGCCTCCTTGAGTTCTCATAACATGAGCGAGGGCCAGGAAGGTATCTGACTGGAACAGGAGGGATGTATTATAGCTTTCTCCTCCTCTCCTGCTGTCCATGCTGTATTCAGTCCACTCCCATGTGTATAAATGTTTCTGTGTATGTGCTGTTCCTTCAACATGGTTGCTGATGCATGCGGCTCGCTTATGGTGGCATCCGCAGAAGATTATGTTTACAGAATTCACAACCAGACTCCAGATGTCCATAAATTTTTAGTGAAGAAAAGCCTCAGAGTGAGTGTTTGTGTGCGAGGGTGTTTGGCAAAAAGAAAGAAGAACCTGTGTTCTGTGGCCACCTTGACAAAACAAATGAAAAATTGGAAACCAATTTGGAGTGAATAGAAGTAGAATCCCCATTTCTCCAGCAATTTTCACCACCAATTTTAATTTACCAGAGAAAAAAAAATGCATTTCTTGTGTTCGATGAGAAATGCAATTACAAGAGCAGGAAATATTTTACCATGTAAAACCAGGGTGGTCAATCTGCTCTGATTGTAACCAGCTTTGCATATAGCCTATTCCTTTTCTTATTTGCTTAAAAAAAACAAAAACAAAGCTGCAACAATGGAGAGTCAGAGAAAATAATGTGGAGAAATCGCATGTCAAACGCAGTATGGAGAAAGGATATCGCCAACCTGTCAGCATGTTTACCACAATAAGTTATTCTCCTGGAATAATCAACTCAAGCTAAAATGGCCGATTGACTTCCTGATTCTGCATCTATTTGGGCTTCTTAACATCATTTGAAAACATGGTTTAAAGAGTACTGCAGCAAGAAGCTCTTAAGAGTGGCGTCTGTTTTTACTGCTGTCATTTGACTGCTGCATTTGGAGTATTTATTTATCCCAATATAACCCACATTTCTCTGAGTGAATGCATACAGTGTTTGGCAAGCAAGGATGTGAATAAACATGAAATGTTTCTCAGTGTTAATGCATTTTAAATAGTCTTCCGTTACAAACATTTAGCTTTGGATAATGCACATCCGATTTATGTTTCTCTTTTCAGTAAATTTTTCACAGCTTATGAGGTTTTCAGGGTCCAATTAGAAAATGTGTTTCTGTGCACCAACCCATCTTATCCAAGGGCTGAATGGACAGGACTATGGTATGTCAGTATTATGTGCGTGTTTTATGCTGTTAATAAATGGTGAATTTCTTATTATATTTGTAGATACCCAACTTCCTCTACGATTGTTTGCTTATTTACTTAAAACGAAAAATGTCATAGTCAAAACCTTAAAGGTTCCTATGTAGAATCAAACATGGTACAAAACATTGTTTTACATAGTGCAACCATTGAAAGTAAAAACCCTATGGTAGGTATCAACCCATTGTGTATGACAGAATACAAAGTGACTGCACTGACTTTCCAAACATAACCATTTCTATTAACTTTAATCTAGTAATCAATCTTTAATCACAGTGCTTAATGACTCACCCTCAATTGGGCAGTAGCGAGTGACCTTCTCAGGCATTAACTGCCCCTCCTTGTGTCTGCAGTACACCTCAGCAATCTGTTGTCGACACTCTTTGCTCTTGGCTCTGGATAGAGCTGAGATGGCTTCCTTTCCACTGATCTCACACTTGGGCGGCTGGTCGTAGGTCACCTCCAGTGGTGCTGCCGTCGCCTGCCTCCTGTGTGGGTGTTGATGTCTGTGCTGTGACTGCGCCTGCTGGACCTGTGAGGCACGGTAGGGCTGCGGTGACACTCCCGCCACACTCTGCACACCCGGGTAGGAGGCATTGTTACCGACCACCAGCGACTGGTGGCCCACAGGCAGGACTTCGTTGGAGCTGCGGCTCCCCTTCCAGGCCTGCTGCTGTGCGTGCGCCTTCTCCTGCAGGTGTTCCCGCTGCTGTTTGCTGCTGGTGGCTCCTACGGACTGCCGGTGCGGCTGTGAGCGTGCACCAAAGTTACTATTGTCTATGTTTTCAAAGTCTTTTGGTACAGAGTTCTCATTGTTGCTGTCCACTCTACTTTTCTCCTTCGGGCGGTGCGAGTAATAACCATCCTGGAACAGAAGAGACAAGAGAAGCGTTGGGTAAATAATGGGTGGCGTGAAAAGAGGGATGGAGGACACAAACAAGAAAACAAGATCAGAATTGAGTAAGCATGGTGCATATCAAATGTCGGATTAACAATCAATGTGTCATGAATGAGTGGGCAGGGCTGCATTAAACCGTGAGGCGTGAAATAAAATAGCGAGGTATTGAGTAAGTGTGGCTACAAGGTGTAAACTAACTGTGGAGGTGATGCAGGGCTGCAGGCTCTGCGGCTCTGTGCCGTCATCAGATTAGCCCTGGTTTCAATTAGATTCTCCCTCAAATGGACCCAGCACCCCGTAAACAGATTACCAAGGAGGGATAAAGGGCCAGAATATGACTGTGAGATAGGGTGGCTGTTTGTGTTTGTGTGTATGTGCATTCTTTTTTTAGTGGAGCCACATGAGAATGTGAAGAAATTGTAGTGGTGTGGTGTGACTGGGAAGGCTGCACTTGACAACGCAGTGTATCTGTATATGTGAGATAGTGTGTGTGTGTGTGTGTGAATGTCTGAATATACAATTTCCGTATCTTTCCAGGAGAATAGGCTAAAAGCGAAGGAGGGGCACAGGAGAGAGGAGAAGGCAGAAAAAGGGCAATGAGTGAAAGTAGGGAGTGCGAGGTGATGGAGCGCTGACACGAGGCATGGCTGCTGCTTCCAGGAAGCGCAGGCTTTCTCCACTGAAATGTACAGCGATGCATCAAACGGAAAACTTCAAAAGAAATCAGCCGGACTTCCACACCACTGTTGCACACCTTGCTAGACATCCAAGAGATGATGGGGAAAAGTGAGGGGTACGGAACGACAAACTGCGGCTGAGAAAAGATAGTTTCTAAGTACACAGGTCCCTGATGTGTTTCACCATTTACAAGACACGGAAAAGAGGAAAGAAAGGGGAGCTAAGTGCCATATGACGGAGGCGAGTCAGAATGGAAGCAGGTAGGTGAGAGAAAAAGAAAGAAGCAAGTTTGATGCTATTGTGAGGCATCCAAAAAGCATTGAAATGACTTTCAGCCCTAAAGCAAAGGCCTGTTATCAGCCCATCGACTGTTCCTCTCTGCAAACACCTTGTAGTAGCACAATTACAAAGGTGGCTGCATGACACACTTTCACATTCAGGAGACAGAAAGTGGGGTGATAGTAGAGAAGTGAAACAACAAACCAGATAAAAACAAGGGGGGGATAATATTCTCATTGTCAACTCCTTTAAGCTGCTCCCTTGGCAGAGGTTTGATTCTCACAGGCCTACCTCTAAGCTTCTGCCTCTCCTTTACACACGTGTTTCTCTCCATCTATGTCTGACTCCTCTTAAATCTTTGCCTTTCCCCCTCTTTTTTCCCTTCACAATGCTCTTTACACATCCTGATTTCACCCCTACTGTATGCCCTCATCTCTCATCACTTCTGCTCCTCACCTCGCTCCTCTTCTCCCATCATCTTCTCCCCATTTCACGTCTCTCACACCTCCTTTTCTCCTTTATTCTCGGCTTCATCCCTGCCTCGGCGTGTCATAACCTCTCCCTTCCCCTCCCCTCCTTGTCTCTCTCTACTTTCTTTACCCTGCCAGTTTCAACAGACCGTATTGTCTGAATGGCAGAACCTGCTAATCCTGCGTGTAACAGCTGCTTAGGCCAGTGATCACCTAAAAAGAAATCCCTACTTGCTGAGTTTCAAAGGGAATGCTTTAGGAGGCTAATCCATGCAGTGCAAGTCACTGGATGTTTGCAGAGGTAAAATGAGGCTGTGTGCATTCATGATTTGTGTCTACAGTGCAAGCTCCGAGTGGATTTTTTTTAACTTAAAGAGCAAGTGGAGAAGACACAGCATGTGTTTCCTCTGGATAGAGAGGGCTACTTTAACTTAAGACCAAACGTGAGACACAAGAAGAAAAAGAAGAAAGGGGACAAAGTAAAATTGGACAAGAGAACCAATATTTAGTGTATCAAAAACTATCTTAGCTATCAAAATGAGCCCCTATATTTCATTTTCACTGATTTCACACTGTCCAGAGTATAGAAATCTATGAAAAAAGTATTCTAAGCCCTTCTTTACTAAAATAGCCTCTTCCGCACAGCCCAGACAAGGCTTACCTGAGACATGTCTGGCTGAAAAGCAAACAGCAGATAAATGTAGGGATGCAGCAAGGGATTATTTTTGGATTCATCTATACCCTGAGCAAGATTTTTAAACTTTTACAAAAAACTCAATTTTGAATTTATTTCTGTAATTTACAGTGGAGGCATAACCTGCATTAAATATATAAAGCCTCACTTAAAGTAAACAAAAAAAAAAAAAGAATTATTGAGAAAATATCTTACATTTTAGGTTATTAGAAGAGTAGCCTGATACAACATATTTTGTATGCTTCATCGTTCATGCCAACAGCTTGAGGAGAAGATCAATCATGATGATGTTGGAGCCAACACATGATAAGCCGGCATAAAGAGTACAGAAAGAAAGGAACAGCCAGCCCTGCCAGCATACTCTACTACTATAAAGACAGAGTTCCAGTGACTTCACTCATGGGTTTCTGAAGAAGCGTTTTGAAGCCCAGCCATGGTCGCAATAATGCTATCTCAACCTAACTTTAGCTGTCCCTCATTTCAGGGGTAGCATCCTTCGTAGCCCTCAGGAGGCTTAATGGAGACGTTCTGGTGTAAAGAGGACCCGCTGTTTGCATCTCCAGCTGCCCCTGTTTTAACCTTTTTGTTTTTAAGCACCTACCCTGTCATGTAATAACCTCGATAGCTACACTGGAGCTAGCTATTATTACTAACATAATGCTACTTAAACCTTTAATTTAAAACATCGTTTGAAGTTTCATGTCCCTTTCGTGTTTTTTTCAAAAAGGAACATGTATTGGTAGCAGGTGAGTAGAAACCAAATTCAGAAATTAATTTCTTGGCTGATTCAGGGTCTGCAAGTGCAGTTGGCCCGTAATAAATCTTGGACTATGTTGGGAAACAAAGGTTGCACTGGATGGGTCCTTCATTGGCAAGGTAAAGAAGGATGCATTTTTTGGACGCATTTGAGGGAACAATGGGACATCCCTCGACGCCCTGCGGTGACTTAATAAATCTTCAAATGAAGGACACAACCCTCTCAATTTGGACATAGCCGCTAGATCATCTAGAACAAACAGCTGTTACATGCAGACCTGCA